GGGGGGGGGGCTGGACCCGATGATCTGCGAGGTCCCTTCCAGCCCCTAACTATCTATGAATCTACAGGGGGACTTCTTTGAGGTGACTTTGCTGGACTTTTCGAAGGGCTCTTGGTTGGACTTATTGAAGGGTTCGTGGCTGGAGTCTTCTCAGGAGTCTTGTCTGCAGGTTTTTCTGGAGTCTTGTCTGCTTTCTTAAAGAAAGTGTCCAAGGACGTTTGGACAGATGTTCTCCAGGGAGATGGGTGACACAGCAAACTTGTTCGCTGGCACGACATCGGATCAAGCGTCTTGAAGTCGAAACTGGCGTCAGAAAGTTGAAACAGGGTGTCGATGCAAGTGCGAAACGTTGTAGCTTGAAACGTTGTAAATTGAGGACTGCCTGTATACCACTTCTTTGTTGGACGCTGTTGTAACCGATGCTGAAACGCTGAGTCCAGTTCTGGTAGTCAGTTCAAGACAGGTGTTGGTAAATCGGTATGGGGTTGGAGACGGTTAAAGGACTGGAAAGCATACCCTGTGGTGCTAGACTTGGGTTGCTTAACAGGGCTTCCCTGCTGCTGGACTTAAAGAGAAGGGTAAGAAACGACTCAATCGTGTTCTGTTTGTAGGGATGAGAAATATGATGGTAAATGTCTATTTGGCGTTGTGGACAAAGCTATAGCAAGTTCCAAAGACTGAAAGTCAAAGTTAGCCTAATAAATAAGCCTCCAGGGAGAGAGAGAGGGTATTTATTGAAACAGTTTATTAAGGGATGGAGGGGATTCTTCAATACAGACTTTAATGGGTCTTCATGTTCAAAACTTCAAATCCAGATTTGATATTTTTTTAAAGAGAGAAGTTCTCTTTCAGAGAGGAATTAGTTCAGGGATGCCTTATGGCAGTGTTTTTCCACCTGTGGGTCATGGCCCAAAACTGGGTTGCAAGAATATATGAAATATGTTCAATATATTCAGTATAATTCATATATGTGAAAGGATCATGAACAAACTTGAAAAATGGATTCTCCTTTAAAGGAGGAAAACGTAGGAAGCTGTGGCTTTTCCCTTGCAGGATGAGAGAGTCCCAGCCTGCAAGGGGATCCTTGGGGCCTCCCCTGCCCCACACACACACCCTCCCTGCCCCATACACTGCGGGAGTGGGGCCTGGCAGAGGGCCAGGAGCGAGGGGCACTGGGTCAGGACTGGCCACCGATGTTTACAGATGGGTCCTGGTACAAAAAAGGTTGAGAAGTACTGTCTTATTGTGAAAGGGGTCAAACTAAACACCTTTCCTTTTATAGTGAGTGGTCTGGTATTATACATTTTAAAGGTTGTGAAAGTGGGTGGAAACTGAATCTTTTGAAATTAAAATGTCCATGTTCCAGAACTTGAAAACTTCCATTGCTTTAACAGGATACAATTCCTAATTGCTACTGGGTGGTGGATTTTCATAGCACTGCATTAAAAGCTATTCTCTTTTCTTTGCTTGAGGGAGCTTTCAGGAAGTAAAGATGAGGTTGGTAGCGAATGTTGAAATATTGACAATAGTGTAATATTGCTGCAGAACTGAATTCATTACACAGTGATGCTACACAACACAGTTAAGTTCTGTGGCTGATGAGTGATTTTGGGGGATTTGTAATCATCGCAGAAGAATGGACAAGCTTTCCCTGTGTGTCTTCAATGGGGGCTTGATAGCAAGGCCTACATTTTAAATGGGGTTAGAGACGAAGTATGAATCTCCAAAAGGTGCTTTTCTGATTAAGGCATGCTTATGGTTGATGCTTTGGAGATGCTTCCTTTGTTGCTGCTTCTTGCTTCACCGACCCTAACATCTATGAATCTATGAATGGAGAGCTTCAGCCCTCTGGGCTGTAAAATTGACTCCTTTAATCACCTTAAGTTGACATGTGACCATTAAAGCAGACAGAAAATTCTAGATGGCATTGGCACCTTTCACCTGGAAAATGATAAGAATGAGACAATTAATTTAAAGGTATACAATTCCCCTTTTCTCTCACTGGAAATGTTTACAGGATCCCTGTTTCTCCCCCACCTAGGGTTCCAGGTGGTTCTTACGGAGGTGACAGGGATGCCCCAAGTAAGATCCTGATTGAAGGTGGCATGCCCTGCCAGGGTTTTCAGTAGCAGCGATTGCCCTCTCTCCTCCTCTTGAAGTAGCAGAGGAGAGGGTGTATGCCGAAGTGACACTAGTACAGAGGCGGGCAGTTATTTTGGCTGGAGGGCCACTTAATGAGTTTTGATGTCCTCTCAAGGGCCACACTTCTCTCTTTCCCCCTTCTCCCCACCCCCACACCCCCTGGAGCTGCAGCATGCCCTGATCCCAACCCCTCTTGGAACCTGCTGGCTGTCTCTGCAGCTTACGCCAGCACCTGCCTGGCATGTCGAAAGCAGTCCTGGGTGGACGCCAGGGTCAGTTGTGGAAGCAGCTGGAAGCTTTGGGTGGGGTTCGAGGCGTCCCCACCCCACCTGGAGCTGCAGCACGCTCCGATCCCAACCCCTCCTGGTACCTGCTGGCTGTGTTTGCAGCTTCCGCCAGCTTCCGCCGGGCATGTCGGAAGCAGTTCTGGGCCGACACCAGTGTCAGTTGCGGAAGCAGCTGCCAGCTTTGGGTGGGGTTCGGGGCATCCCTACCCCACCTGGAGCTGCAGCACACCCTGATCCTCACTTGGCCTGAAACCTGCTGGCCATAGCCACACCTTATACCAGCACCCACCTGGCACCAGCCTCAGCTGTGGATGCAGCTGGCAGGTTCCAGGTTGGAATCGGGGTGTCCGCCTGGGTCCACAGTTGATGCCTCCGCACCAGCACTGGGTGGAAGCAGTCCCACTTGCCTGCCCAGTGCAGCAGAGAGAGCCCCACCTGTGGCCAGAGTCGGAGCTGCCAGCTGCCTGCAGGCTGGATCCCATGAGTTTGTGGCGAGGGGTCGGGCCTGCCGGCTGCCTGCAGGCTGGATCCCATGAGTTTGTGGCGGCCCGCCTGTGGGCCGGATACAATCATTTGGGAGGCTGGGTTTGGCCCGCAGACTATATTTTGCCCATCCTGGACTTGTATATGACAGATCCCCTGAACGCTTGGTTTGCTTGGTTTTCTCTAGGAGATAGACTTGTACTAAGCTTCATGTTGAACAGAATAGGAAAGCTTGTGGGGAACTTTTTTCAGCTCAAGTATTTGGTGAATGTAGGGGCCTGACACCACGGTTGATTTCATAGGGGTGACACCACAAACAATCATATTGTAGCTCAGCAGGAGCTTGAACAAAGGCTCTGGTATTTCACAAGCAATGAGGAGGAAAACAATAACCCTCATGAAGAAGTTGTTTCTTCTGTTAAGAAAAATATATGGGAAGATCCCAGAAATTCTCCTGAATTGGGAAATAGGTATTTAGGGCTTGACAGTGTTGGCTTTATTTGTTCTGTTTATTCCTTGATGGAAGCTGCCAGTCTTCGGGTTTGAATAACAATAATATGACTATCAGTTTTGATTGTTAGCCGATGTCCCCTTTTAAAAATCAGTGCTTATATCCTTTTCCAGAGCTCTAGCTTTAGGTGATAAGAGTGTTGCATATAAACAACCCCTTTCTTTGCTCTGGATCCCAAGACAGTGTACTGTACTGAAGTGCATAACCTTAGGACTGAA